TCGGACTGGTGCGCGGCAATGCGTCGGCATTGCCGATGTTGCCGGGAAGATGACCAAACTGGATCATTTAAAGGAAGTAAAAGTTGTAACAAGATTTCCGTAGGTGAACCTGCGGAAGGATCATTAACGTTCCGGAGGTCCTGCTCTTTGCGCCCTTCTCGTGAGCGCGCGCGGAGTCGGCGACTGTAAGGACACAGAGACATCAGTGGAATTGAGGATGGAGAGCGCGTGTGTGACACATGCACGCACTCCGAGCTAGCGGAGCGCGCGCCTATCTCTATGTTCTCGCGTTTTTGCCGTGCGTCGATGCCGAAGCGAGTAGAGGTTAATCTCGTTCGGCGCCGCGTTCCGCTCGCGCGAGTCACACTCCGTGAGCCGCGACACGCGCGCCGCTTCGCGCAACGCACGTACAAGAGATTGCACGCGAGAGATAGGATAGAGCGATTATACCTGTATATTGGAGAGAGGAATCGTGTCGAACGGTAGGTGACGATCCGCGCGCCGCTCTCTCTTTCTCGATCGACCACGCCACAACGTTTGTTGCAACGTTGCGTCTGGGACCGTGGACGAGGAAAGAGAGATCGACCGCATGCGAGATCCCCTCCAGTCACACCGCCCAGGCGCGTACACGCACGCCGGCGGTGCTCTGCGAGCGAGGAGCGAGTCGTTGGCGCGCCAACGATCGAAGGAAGCTTGCGGCCGGTGTTCAGCACCGTGCTTGTGCCTTTTCGGTTTCGGCGGCGTCGGCCGGCGCGAACCGGTGGTAACCTACAACGTCGCGGCGACTCGCGAGAATCGCTCGCGCGCTGGGGGGCCCGAAAACACCGGGACGAAACCCCCCCCCAACCGACTTGTTTCTCAATCGGTGGCGGGTGTTTCTATCGTCTTCGTCGCCCGATGGTTTTTCAAAGATTTCCGCCCCGGCTCTCGTCTCATTTCCCCGCGCGATCGCGCGCCGGTTGGACGAGAGACGCTCCGCTCGCGCGACGATGTCGTCTCACGTTGTGCCGTAGCCCCCTGCAAACGGGGCGGCGGTCCGCGCGTGCTCGGACGCGCGGCCAGGCTGATCGAAGGGCCCCCTCTTTTGAGTGGCGTTGATCCCGGAGGATCCCACTCTCCCGTCGTCCCCGTGCCTTCTCGCGCGCTGCCCGCGCGCCGAGAGAGTGGCCGAGAGGAAGAGGAGGAGAGAATGGTGACGCCCCGGCGAGAGATGGCCACGAGAGAGAGAGAAGCAAATACGGAACGTTGACAGCGTTGCGAAAGCACGCAAGATGAACGATTAACCTGAACGGTGGATCACTTGGCTCGTGGGTCGATGAAGAACGCAGCTAATTGCGCGTCAACTTGTGAACTGCAGGACACATGAACATCGACATTTCGAACGCACATTGCGGTCCACGGATACAATTCCCGGACCACGCCTGGCTGAGGGTCGTTTTAGTACCAACAGACTGCTTGCGCCCACTCGCCGTCGCGCACCCGCTGCACTTTGGTGGTGTGTGCGATATAGAGAGAGCGTACGAGCGATCGTTGGACATTCGCCGAGATAAGCGAGACGCGCTCCCTCCCATCTTTTGGGGCCGTGCTGGCCCCGAGGAGGAGAAAGAAGTCAGTCTTCCCTGGGCGTCGTCCGAAATGACACACACGAGAGGAGGAGGGTTGTTGACCGAGGCGTCAACGAGATCTGCGCGCGCGCGCGACAAAGGTGTTGCGCCGCCGCCGCCGCCCGGAGACCAAAAGCGCCCCGGTACAAGTGGAGAAATAAGATACGTTCGCCCGAGGAGAAGAGCGCGACGACGGGACCGCGAGAGTCACGTCGCGCCGCTCCGCGTCACCGCCCTACGTAGGCGCCCCGCCGTACTCTCAGTGGGCGCCTCGAGAGAGGTGCGCGCGCGTGCAAAAATGGAGCCGCCTGCCGCGCGGGCTCCAGCCTCGGAGATATATCTCTCCTCTGTCTTGCGGGTTCGGTCTCTCGGAGCCGTCGCGATCTTCGCGAGGAGCCTGGTTTGTGGATCGCGCGAGCCGACCGCGCTTGTCCAAGTCCACGAAAGCGATTCTCTCGCGAGCGCGCGAGAAACATCCTTAGGACCGGCACGGCGCGTTTGTCGTGTACTCGTCGCGTATCCGGCCGGGCACACTCGATTGTGCCCCACCCCCTGGTGTTTTGCGCCAACGCTCACTCTCGTGTCT